TTTATCAATCTGTAATAAAAGACGTGAGGAAATTCTGTCTTTTTTAAAGACAAAAATTTTTGAGGCGAAATACCCAAAAAGAAGTTTGTAAACAATTTATTTTATCAGACTACGAAGGCTTTCACGGCCGGTCAAATCACATATAGAAATGTTTTAACACCCACGAAAGAACAGACCTTTTCTTTACCAAGTGTTACCTCTGTAGGCAATCAACAGGGGGTCATTTAGGTAATAAAAAGCAAAAAAAGTTATGTTAGCTAAATAAGAAAGATAATATAAAGAGTTAGCATCAGTTGAGTCTTTAATCAAACAAGTTGCTAAAAACTTTTCACTTGAACTCACACTACTTTCTCACAGTAAATACGTTTTGCACCAATCACTACCGCTTTGTTATACGTATTGCTAAATACTAATAAATTTGTACATGTTTGAGTTTAGACAATGAGTCCAGCAATTGTCTGCAATATTTTCAAAATTTATTTCCTTTCTTAAGTGATTACCCTTATTTATAAGCCCAATGGAAATATTTCTGTGAAAATTATTACCTATTGTAAATTAAGAGGTAGCCAATGTGGAGCTTTGTGAGTAAGATAAGGAAGTCATATTGGATTAAGTGACTTACTATAAAACGATGCTGGAGATAATTGCAAAGAGCAATTTGTAAATATGGCTTCAGCTACACTACTATGTGTAGCTGCGCTTGTTTCGGCTACAGCTGGTCAACTGTTGGTAGGGCATAAATTTGCAATTTAATACGTTCTACATACGATTTCCATTTTCTATTTCAGACCGCTGAACAGTTTGCAAACGCCGTTCCAGGTCATCTAGAGTTAGATCCAGAATTCCGGAAACTCCACCCAAACATTCCAGGACCTCAGGAAAATGTAGATCCGTTCATAGTGGGAGGCGTCGAAGCAATCCCGCATTCTAGACCCTATCAGGTATTATTCAGTTGTCTAACTCACTGTCTTCTGTATCATTAAAACGTATATTTTACATGATCTCTAGGTGGCAGTTTACTCCCCAATAACAGCAACTGGATTTTCATTTTGTGGAGGATCGCTGATCAATGCACGCACAGTTATCACTGCAGCTCACTGTGTAGACCGGTGAGTGTGGTATAAAAACGGAAAATTTCCTCAATTTTATAAAATTTTAGACGCATAGGAAATCTATCAGTTTTTATGGGCGCTCATAACATGCCTCCGGGTACTGCTCCTAATGTCATAAGCAGATCATCTGATGACGTACTTATACATGAGGGATGGAATAGAGCCATACTTCTACATGATATTGCTATAGTGAGATTTGAAACTCCAGTTCCTTTGAGCGGTAAGCCGTTTTTGCTTCAACTTTCTACTGCTGCATTTTATTTAAGTTATTCGCATTTGTCTCTACTAATTGCAAATTATTGCTTGTTGGTAAAAATCGCATCTGCTTGTTCTAGCAATTGATAATAAAAAGCTTATTTACTTTTTTTAAAATATCTTTAGTTATTTCTTACCTTTATTTAAAAAAATCTGAGTATTGAAAACTCCGTTACAAATCATTTTTTCAATTCACAAGTTTTTTCGCTAAGCCTTGGAAACTTGTCAAATAATTACTAAAATGTATCGGAAAACGCTCATTAGCTTAAATGTAGACGTTTGGCATTTCTGGGGCCATAAAGGTTTAAAACATTGATTTGTATATTCAGTTACATTTGCAGAAATAGCTCTGCAATTAAAACATTTTCATAGAGACATAAATTGTAATTTACTATACCAAAGGTTATCGTCGACGACAATAAAATAAAAGTTTGAATTCCGACTACTTAAGCCAAACATAGAAAATTCATCTTAAATGAGCTACTCATGAAAAATTAATATTTTGTATCGTTAGACATGAGACATATTTCTGATCTTGCACACAAAAAATGTGCTAATTTTATTAAGAGTAGGATCAGCATTATCGCATTATCACATAATAAATCCAACTACCACTTGACATTACAATCGAATTTACAATATGCATTATCGGAAATTCGTTAGTGAAACTTTATAAATCAATGGCAGTACTTAATTCTTATTTTTTTTTTTACAAACTTCTTTTTGGGTATTTCGCCTCAAAAATTTTTGTCTTTAAAAAAGACGGAATTTCCTCACGTCTTTTATTACAGATTGATAAATAGTGCTCCCATTTCGCAATAAGAACGAATTATTTATCAAAAAGTAATCAAGAACTATCACCTAGAGGGTATCCTGCGACACTCTTAGGCTCAAGCTGTAAGAGAAAATTCCAATCAGTAGAGAAATTAATTTGAAAAATTACCTTGACGTTTCGATAGCTATTTTCTGCTATCGTTATCAAAAGAACCTAAAT